GAGGATTATAAACTTGAGCCATTGCCCTTGACTTCTGCTGTTCTTTCTCTGTACCCCCTCCCTCATCTCAATTTCTCTTCCTTTCTCCCTTTTTACTACTTTCACTTTTCATTTCAGGCCGTTTTCCCCTTCTCACTTCCACCAATGAAAGAAATTATGCTATGTTTGTCCCTGTGAGACTGACTTACTTCAAGAAAAGTGGTTATCTCTAATGCCATATTTTTCCTACAAATCATATAACTTATGAAATTTTTATAACTGATGCATGCACATATCACATTATTCTTTATCCATTCGTCTCTGGGTGGGCACCCAGGCTGATCCCATAAATCGACTATTGTGACTAGTTTCACAATGAACACAAATGTGCAAATATCTCCATAGTAAGCTGATTTTTATTCTTTGGGGTATCTATATCGAACTTGACTAGTTGGATCATATTTTCTACTTTTATTTTTTAATGAACTTCCATGCTGACTTTCAAAGTGGCTCAAGTATTTCATAATGGGTCCTTACTACCACCTCTGAAATAATTTTTGGATTTGTTGATTTGTTGATTCTGTTCCTGATGGAAGCCATTATTACTATGAGAGGATGTAATTTTCATTCCTGCTTCACTGGTGACTAAAGATTGTGAGCATATTTTCAACTACTTATTGGCCATTTAAACTTCATCATTTAAGAAATGTCTGCATTTCACTGACCATTGTTGATTGGACTGGGCAATGTGTGTTTCTGTTATTCAACTTTTTGAATTCTTTATATATTCTAGATACTAATCATTTGTCAGATGAATATTTGGCAGAGACTTTTTCCCATTTAGTAGGCTGTCTCTTCACTCTGTTGGTTGTTGTTTCTCTAATTAAGCCTTTTAATTTGATCCAGTCCCATTAATCAAAACTTATTTTTATTCCCTGAGCTATTTAGAGTCCTCTAGAGAAAATTAATTTCTATGTTCAGAGGGAGAATTGATGGTCCTCACTTTTAATAAGAATACTGGAGACCAAGAGAAGTGAAAATGAAGCAATTTTATTTACAGCACTGCAAATCTAAGTGTCAGCCTAGATTGGCAGACGTCTCATTGAGTGCAGAGAAGAATATATAAAAACTGGACACATGACTCTTCACCTCCTTTTTTGATAATCAGGAAGATATACTCATATATCGTCTAGATCTTAAGTTTTCTCAAAAAAAAATCCCATGTGTGGGATCATCTCTACATTTTACATTGTTTTAAACTTATCATAGACATGACCTTGCACCAGTACTTTTCTACCCTGAACATCTACTTTGATGTAGGAAAGGAATAGCTCCATTAGCAGATGGTAATAGGGGCCTAGTGTTTTGTGTTCATTTGTAGCTGGCCCTAAGCTGTCTCGGGTACTCTGAAAATGAACCATCAGGTATTATTTCTAACAGTGTTTCCCCTGTTTTCTTCTATTGATTTCAAGTTTCAGCACCTTTCATTAAGGCCTTCTTCAACCCATTTTAGGTTTTTTTTTTTTCTTTTCTTTTTTTTTTTTTGGTAGAGGGTGAGAAATAAGGATCTAGTTTTAGGCTTCTACATGGAGTACCCACTTTTCATAGCACTACTTATTAAGGAAACTGTCTCTCTTCACCTTCATTGAATACGACATTTGTATTGAATGAGTTTATTTCTAGGTCCTCTATACTATTCCATTGCTGCACATGATTAATCTATGTGCTGGTACCACATGGGGCTGTCTTTTCCTATTGGTCTGGAGTCTGGTGAAATTAAATATTGTGATGCTTTCACTTGATCTTCTTGCTTAGGCTTACTTTGGCATTCAAAGTCTTTTGTGTTTTCATATAATTTAATGGTTGTTCTTTCTACTCCTATGAAGAATATCACTGGAATTTGATGGGCATTTAATTAAATTTATGTATCATTTTAAAAACATTTATTTTACATTTTATATGAACAGATGTTTTGCCTGAATATATATATATATATACATATATATATATGTATACATATATATATATATGTATATATATATGTGTGTGCGTGTGTGTGTGTGTGTGTACCATGAGCATACCTGGTGCCCATAAAGCAGAAGATGATGCTGGGTCCCCTGGAACTGCAGTTACACACAGTTGTGAATGATCATATCATGTGGATTCTGGGAATTTAACCCAGGTCCTCTGAAAGAGAAGTCACTGATTTTATCCACTGAGCCATTTTTCCATCTCCGCTATATTACTTTTAATAATATAGCCTTTTAAACAATATTTATTTTGGTTATCTATGAACATAGAAAGTCTTTCGATCTTCAATTATCTTCTCCAATTTCTTTCTTGACTACTTTATAGTTTTAAATACGGTTTCAACTATAGTTATATTTTGAACATCCATATATTGTTTGACCATTTCTATGAAATTTTTCAGTTTCACTATTTCATGATTCTTGTGTCAATACTCTATTATGACATCAGTCAAATGTCTTTTTTACTGTTTTTTTAATTAGTTTTCACAGAACTTGTGATGAACATAGAGTCATATGCAAGTATTATACCATAAAGCCTTATCCATAGCCCTCTCTTTATTTTTTTTTTTTTTATTTTTGAAGCCGAGTCTCATCACATTGCCTAGAGTCACTTTGAACCCACACTGTAACCTAGATTGGCTTTAAACTTGTGATCCTTCAGCCTGAGCCTCCTAATTAGCCAGGATTACAGCCATCAGTCCTAGCTGAGAATTCTTTTTGCTATTTAAAGTTCATGAATCTTTACAGAATCTATAATATATTTATTTATCCAAATTCTAGCACTTTCATTTAAGAAAAAACAATGCAAACTACTATAGTAGTTCAGATTGGAACTGAAGCCAGTTTAAATATGAATTTAGGAGCTACTGGCTTCCTGATATGTGTAGGGTTTTTTTTCTGTATAATTGTGTTTCTTTATGTATTCAGATTTTAATGGACAATTACTAAAACTTGATGCTGCCTTTTTCATATAGTCCTTGTATTTTTTCTGTTTACTTTTTTTTCCCCAGAGCTGAGGACTGAACCCAGGGCCTTGCACTTGCTAGGCAAGTGTTCAACCACTGAACTAAATCCCCAACACCTTTTATTTACTTTTGAGATTGTAATTTTATTACATTTCTTCCTTCTCTTTCTTCCCTACAATTCCTCTCATACCCTCTTTTCAGCTCTCCTTCAAACTCTTGGCCTCTTTTTTCATTAATTGTTATTCCATGCATATATGTCTTATATATACATATATTATACATATATATTTCTAAATATAACCTTCTAAGTCCATATGGTGTTACTTATATGTATCTTTTCATAGCTGATTGTTTGGCACTGGACAATCAATTGATGTGCTCCTTCCTGGGGAGGACTACCTCTCCCACTCTTAGCTTTACTTAGTGTCCTGTAGTTTTTTTGTGTAGGATTGAGACCTTGTGGGCTTTTCCCCATCCAATTTAGTCTGTTCATTGGTGTCATCCTTGTTCAGCTCACATTTGGCAGTTGTATTGGTAAGATTTTATGAGTAGAGCTTCTGATGTTACTAGGAGACACAGTCTTACAACAAATGCACTGATCCTCTGACTCCTACACTCTTTCTGGCCCCTCTTCCCTAATGTACCTTGAGCCAGTGGTTTATCCTTTGGGATTGTGTCTCACAACTCTGTATTTTGACTGTTTGTGATTTTCTCCATCTGTTGTAAAGAGAAGTTTCCACGATAAGGGGTAAAGACTACAATTACCTGTGGGTATAAGGACAAATGTTTATAGATTGTTGTTAGTGATTATACTGTTTTAGTAAATTAGTAGTTGTAGAGTCCCAATAACATGACTTAAGTACCACTAAATAGTTAGCTAGGTCTCCAGTACCAGGCATGGTATACCTCTTGTTGAGATGTCTTAAGTCCAATTAGAGAGCTGTTGGTTCAAGGTATGTATGACACTATTTTTTACAAATGCAATGAACAATTTATAATATTAATTTTTACATTTATTTTTTGTGTGTATGCATATATGTTTGGATGTGCACCTGCCAAGGCATACATGCAGAGATTGGAAGACAGCTTAAGAGAGTTGGTTCTCTCCTTCTACCATGTGAGTTCCAGAAATCAAACTCAGATTATTGGGTTTGGCAATAAGTGCTTTTACATACTGAGCTATTTTGCTGTCCCCCATTACTCACTCTTTCATGTTTTAAATTAGTTTATGTCTCTATAAATACAGACCCATCTTAAGACTTCTGATAATTCTCCTCTTGGTCTTGGAACAAAGACTAACAGTAGAGAAGAAGGACTGAGAACATGTCATGTTGTGTAAAGTCCATAGGGTAAGCAACCATTCTGAGTAATAGAAAATTGGAATTGTCAATTAAAATAATATTTGTAATCAATCAACAAACTAATAAATCATTAAAATTTTATGATACTTTACAGATGTAATTTTATCTAGCCTTCTTTATTCTAATAAGGCATTAAAGATTACATTTTTCATTAACATGGCTACAATAATGGTTCTTGAATGGCAACTAATAATGGCAGCTTTTTGAACATACGTAATTTGGGTCATGTTTTTCAAAGAGCTTCCTCTTTTCAGAAGTATTTCCTCTCTTCCTAAGAAGAAATATGAGTGCTTGTGAGAACAGAAAACACATTCCTTTGATGCAAACACTGAGCAGTTTCAACACAATTGAACTCCTGGAAATTAAAAACAAAACAATTCTTAGAATATTTTTCCCAGCTACTTGAAAAAAAAAAAAAGCAGTTGGTGGACCAGTTAGCCCAATTCTCTTCTTCCCCAATTGTACCCCGTCTATTTTCTGTTATCACTGCCTCCAGGGAAAACAATGTATGAAGTTATTTTGTGGAGAAACTTACAACTTACCAGATGTCACACAATTTATATTCAGTGGATTTCTAAGGAACCCAGATCAGTTTATCACGACATGTTTTTAGAAGGTATAGATTTTTGTAGAAGCTGTGAGCACTGTGATAACTCAGGCTGGAGCAAGGTATTTGCAGAAGGAACTAAGCTCATAGTAATCCCTTCTGGTAAGTAACTTTTTTCTACTTTATTCTAGTGATGCAAAGTATATATATGATTGTATAAAAAGACCAAAAACTACTATGAGATACTGTATCTGACTACAATGTTCTTAACCTGAGTCATTTTTCAGGACAGATTATTGGACATGACAGTAAAAACTACTTTGTAAATGGTTTTTTCTCTCCATCTAGAAAACACCAAAACGCTGTATTTAGAATAGTTGCATATACAAAGTGGAAGTGGAAGTCATTCTGAGGATCATGTACACAGACTATTTGTGTAAATTATTGTTTCAGGATATTGTTGTAAAAAGTCTTTTAAGTGAGTCCGCAAAATGGAGTTTTTCTCTGTTTTGAAATGCAACTAGTGCTACATTCTCCAGACAAACTGGAAAACCATTATTATTGGTTTTGATCATAAATGATAGTAAGTTGCTGTAGAACATGAATGAATGCCCTTCTTATTTGTCTGACTCCTTACAGGGTAGGTTGTGACAAGTCACAATTTATGTCACTCTGATTCTTGAAATATCATCTGGAGATTTCTGTTAGAATTTGTAGTTTACACAAGCTACATCTGTCCAGAGTCCATGTAAAAGGCTTTTTATACATTTACATCTTTATTTGATCATTATTTCCCTCAAGGAAGCTTAGGACTGTCATATTGTCCAAGATTTTCATTTTCTGCATCTTGACTTTTTATAAGAACACATTAGTTGTCTAATTATTAGTAACTATGCCCAAATACATGATTATTGCTTTTCTCTCTGAAAATTTCTCTCTGAAAAAAAAGAAATCTCAATTAACTCTAAATTGCATTCTAGGCTAAGAACTGATTTATAAGTAACAACCCTTTAAGGGGGGAAATACAGAAACATCAGGAAAATCTTGAAAAAGTGAAATGAAACTTGTCAGCCTGTGTGAACATGGCACAAGCTCCAAGGCAGAGTGTGCTCAGTCCTTAAACTCCTGGTTACACTTAGATGTTCAGTGGCTTCGCTTGAGTTTTCTCTCCATTAAATACCAGCAGAGCCAATTTTATATAGTCATATAAACAGTAACAAAAACATTGTCAGATGTTGAGTATTAGATGCAAATTCATCCAAGAGTTCCGCCCTGACACACAAGCCCATGCCTACAGGAATGTTTCCTTTATATTCTGCAGAGTAGAGAAGGGAGAGAGGCAGGGGTGCGGACGCTGCAAGCTCCAGCCTCAGCATCCTCGGAATGATTCCTGGTTTGACCATGATGTCCGGAGAGGTCAGGCTACTTGTCCACATCTGAGGAAGCTGTGTTCTTCCTGTTCTGGCGTAGGAGACATGAGTAAAGAGTTTAGAATAACTGAAGAACACAATTTTATATTCAGAGGTTAAAATAAAATATAGTGCAATGCCTGTTTTACTGACTGATAAAGAAGCACACCAATTTTCAAATGTGGTAAATTTTCCACTGTAAAATTAGAGAAGTAGTTGGGGAGGCGACTTGGTGGGTATGGTACTTGCGGCATAAATGTGAGGACCTGAGTTTCAGTCCCCAGAGTCAGTCTAAAAGTCCACACGTGCTCCTAAGGTAAGGCAGGACACTGAGGCAGTGATAGCTCCAGAAGGCCACAGGCCTGCTCCATTGGAATCCGGAATGGTAAATAACAAGGAGATCTTGTCTGAAACAGTGGAAGGTGAGGACTGAAGTAAGGCTGTCTCTGACTACCACGTTCAGACAAGTGTGTCTGAATCCACACACAGGAATTTGCAGGCTCCACATATACACACCATATACACAGAGAAAGAAAGAAAAAAAGAAAATTGGGGAAAAAACATTTCAAAGCACATCTCCTTCAGAAGGAAAATGGATATTGAGTGGATATTGTCTCCAACATTCATTTTGAGAAATGAAAAGTGGCCATTAAACAAACCCACTGATACTGCAACTAAATCATAACATTTGATGTCACACACACACACACACACACACACACACACACACACACACACACCAGTACTCAGTCTATGGGGTCAGGTAGATAACAGTGTCCTAAAATGGCTTTGAAGACCAGCCCTCCTGATATTACTTCATTAGATTTTCAAGAAAGAGCTAAGCCAACAACTGCAGAATAGCATTTGGCGTGACTTACTGAAGTCGGATTGTACCCAAACTTTCAGTAAAAGATCTGATTCCCGTGTGTTGTGCTTCTGAGTGGAGCACAGGCATTGTTTTAACATCAGAAACGAAGTGTTCTATGCACCAGCATACACTTTAGGCTTAAACACATCTCCCTTTGCCATCCTAGAGCAGCAGGTTTCTTGTGATGGTGGATTTGGGAGCCTGGGTATACCATAGAAAACTAAACTGTAGATGACGGTCTCTCCTCATTTGACCTAGATTTAATTGCAAACCAAACCCTCCATTTCCATGACTAATAGTAAAGCTTTTCCCCATGGAATGACAATGTTTTGTTCCAGCACAAATCACAACAAATTAAGTTGTTGTTGCTAGCAGTCATTTATTTTAGTTTCATTGTGGTAGTGAGGCTGAATTGATTTTCAGTAATAGAGAGGTTTTATGAAAAATAAAGCAGCTGAAACTTAGAAGTTGTTTGACTTGCTCAATCTCAGAACTCGTTATGACTCAGTTAAGTCAGGACCCAAGCCTCATCCTTGTAAGAATTCCAGACTATCATATTGTCCCTGTCAGCTGAAGAACCAAGGGCTCTAAACTAATGTGGTAGTTTTGATATGGGTTGAGTCACTGTAGAGTTCCTTCATGTTTAGTAGAGGAATGTATTGTGTTGTCATAGGTGGATAGTGAACAAATATATTTTCAAAGAAATTGAGGGAAGGCAAAACATGGACATAGTGGAGTGGAGGTGATAATGTTTAGAAAGACGAGGGCTGTGAGAAAGATTTTCTGAAGCAATTACCAATGTCGATGCTGAAGAACACTGTGCAAACATCCTAGTAATGCTTGAAGACATTCAGACTTCTGTAAAGCATTCATATGTAATGTATGGAAGTCATTATTAAATCATTTGACACCGATGTGGCGTTTATTATTACAGACAAGTCTATGAGCTGGGCAGTGGTGGCACATGCCTTTAATCTCAGCACTTGGGAGGCAGAGACAGGTGGATCCTTGTGAGTTCAAAGCCAGCCTGGTCTACAAAGCAAGTTCCAGGACAGCCAGGACTGCTACACAGAGATACTCTGTCTCAAAACAAAACAAAACAAAACAAAACAAAACAAAACAAAACAAAACAAAACAAAAAACAAAAAAGAAACAAGAAACCAGACAAGTCTATAATGGACTCAGTACACAGTTGCCTTCCTTTTTCTCCAGGTCCAAAGCACTGTGAACCAGTCTGGGCTTTGAACTCAGACATGCGTCTCTAGCTTCTCCACTTATTCCTAGAGATCATGGGAGACTCTGTGCTCAGTTCCTAACAAGTAAGACAGATGAGGGTATGAGAACAGCAAGATTATATGAAAACTGAAATCGATAATGTGAATAAAGCATGTGGTACATTGTCCAAACCATAACAGACACAAAAACCGTAGAGAGCCCTTTCTCTACCATGAAGAAGTGATTTGTTGTCGTTACAGCCAATAACGTTTATTATACAGCCAAATTTTCTGGGAGATGCAACTGGACTTCTAACTGCTACAGTGGAAGTTAATCTTCATATTTATTTACATACACAAAATTCCCATCTGGAGTCATTTGCTTTTCTCTAGCAAGCTATTTCATCGTTTGACAAGAAACATGACTCTAAATATATTTTTAAAGGATTTTTTATTGTTATCTGTGTGGCAGTGGCACACACCTTTAATCCCAGCACTCAGGAGGCAGAGGCAGGCAGATCTCCATTAGTTCAAGGCTAGCCTGGTCTACAGAGAGAGTTCCAGGATAGCCAGGGATACATAACTACACAAAGAAACCCTTTCTCAAAAAAAAAAAAAATCCCACAAAAAAGAAGGATTTTTACTGTTAATCAATAAAAGTTTTAGTAGAAGTTGTGAAATGCTGTTTTGTTTCTAATTTTATAAAGTATTTTTTTAAATTTTTGATAATTTCATCATGAGGATTGTATTAACTTTCTTTCCTCCTCACCCTCTTCCTCTTTGAACTCTCCCAACTCCCTGCCAAATTCATGACTCTTCCATAACTATTGTTACATAAATATATATGCTCACATATGTATATATAAATACAACCTGCTAAATCCATTTAGCATTATATATATACTTGTGTGTGTGTGTGTGTGTGTCTGTCTGTCTGTCTGTCTGTCTGTCTCTGTCTCTGTCTCTGTGTGTGTTTATATCTAACCACTTGAGATTACACGACCTATCTGGGGCCCATCCCTACAGAACACCGATTCTCCTTCTCTTAGCATACATTTATTGTGTGTAGCTAATGTAGGAGTTTGGCCTTGTGAGATTTTCCCCCACCCATGCTTGAACCTCAACTGATGTTGTAATTGTGCACATCTTGTTTAGGTGACCATATTGTTAAAATTTCATGGATGCAAGTTCCTGTCATATACAGAAGGCACTATGTAAACAGAAGCCCCAGTCCTATGGCTCTTCAATTTTTTCTGCCTCCTCTTCCACATCGATCTCTGAGCCTTGAGGGAATAGGCTGGATTTCAACATCCTCATTTAGAACTGAGTGTTCCAAAGTCTCTCACTCTGAACATTGTCCAGTTGTGAATCTCTGTGTTAATTGCTATCTATTTCAAGAAGAAACTTCTCTAATAAGGGTTGAGCAATATACTGGTCTATGAGTATAGCAATATGTCATTAGCAGTCATTTTATTGCTATGTTCCATTAGCAGAATTATAGGAGTGTGATTTTTCCTGGTTTGTGACTTATCTCGTCTCAGGTGTTGGCCTCTTTAGCAGCATCAAGTGTGGGTTACATCTCATGGAGTGGACCTTAATCCTATAAAAAAAAGATTGATTACTCAATAAAATGTTCTATGGTTTCACCATTATATCTGGCAAGCAGGTTACTGTTTTAGGCAGTAGGGTTTCTCCTCTAGTATCAGACAAAGTACCTTCTAGTACCATGAACACTAGTCAGAAGGGATGAAACTTTTAGTTGGGCTCAGTTTCTCCATCTTTAATGATACAAGTAGGTAATGTCTTCAGCAATAGGGCCTTAGCATCAGGTTATGGAGAGTAACCAGTAGCTTTGGGAATATCTTGTGATGTTTGAGGTGGGGGTCTGTAGGACCCCTTTGACCAATGCTCACTAAGATAGAGCTCATTCCTGGCACTGGAGGTTTTGCTTGGTGGCATAAGACTTCTTGTTGAGGCATTCTCTTCCCCTTATACGGTAATTCCATTTAAATTCATTTCATATAAGTATATATTTAGGAAGCTTCTACAGGTGTAGATTTCCATGTGATTTTTTGAAGGCTCTTTAGTGTTAGTTGTTCATACCTGCATTCCCTCCTTTACTCTGCCTTCCCATCCCCCTCCCTATTTAATCTTATTCTAGATTCCTCTTTATCTCTTTATGGCATTATATTCTATTTCTCCTTCCTTGGAAGATCTCCTCTTTCCCTGACCTCTTCCTAGGAATTTATCTGTTGAGATAATTCAGATTGAAGCATCTTAATTCAATATACTAGGGATAATTCGAAGGTACAGCTACATGCCCAACTCCAAAACCCGGAGTGGTTCTCATGAGAGAGTAAAATGCTTTCTAAAAGTAGAGATCAACTAGGACATCCCCTGAGAACTTCAAAATTGAGAAGGGGATCTGCCATTGCAGCTAGCATATCTAATTGATGGAGTGTAATACACATGGAAGGATACTCCCATTACATAACGGACTGCATATAGTTACAAAGAAAAACTTGAAAGCCTCCTCCTGACATCTATTCCACTGAGCTATAAGAAAAGCAGCTAAATAAGCTATATATAGAGTCAGTTAAATAAGCAGTGTGTTGCACTAAATTGCCAGAGAACAAAGTAACAAAGGATGGGGAGGGGAAGCATGTTAGAAATGACAAGAAACCTTCATCTGTACAATGACCATAGAAGTACTTCCATCTCTTTCCCTCCCATCCATCCACCCAGATGAATGTATGCTTCACGCTAAGAAAACAAAGGTGGTGTGAAGAAATAAATTGTTCTTAGTCATTCAGTGTTTGTGTTTATGTAATAACTATTTCGAGTGACTGGATTTAGTCGTGCATGTCTAAATCCTAGCACTTGGGAGGCAGAGGTAGGAGGATCAGAATTGGGCAGACTAGGAAGAAGCCATCTACAGGTACACAGAAAGTTTGGTACTACATTGGGCTATGTCTGAACAATAATAACTACTATCTTCATTATTATCATCTTTATTAATTTTCTATTTTATCTTACAGACAAAAAACTTGATGCAGACATTTCCCCAAAGCCTACCATTTTTCTTCCTTCTGTTGCTGAAACAAATCTCCATAAAGCTGGGACATACCTTTGTCTCCTTGAGAAATTCTTCCCTGATGTTATAAGGGTATACTGGAAAGAAAAGGATGGTAATAAGATCCTGGAATCCCAGGAAGGGAATACAGTGAAGACTAATGACACATACATGAAATTTAGCTGGCTGACCGTAACTGAAAAGTCAATGTATAAAGAGCACAGATGTATTGTCAAACATGAGAACAACAAAAAAGGAGTTGATCAAGAGATTTCCTTTCCTCCAATAAAGAAAGGTATGTGCATATGTCCTTTGAAATAGACCTTTCTAGAAAATGTGTTTGAAAATACCCAGTTTTTCTATGATGTGTTAATGAAAACTAATATAAGACATTTAACAGGGCCATTGCATTTATTTTACATTGTACATGGGCTGGAGGGATAGCTCAGCTGTTAAAGGCTAGGCTCACAACCAAAAATATTTTACATTGTACTTTAATAAGGTACTAAGATGGTAGAGGCTTTAGGAGAAAAGGTGAAAATTTGGCGTAAGCTTTTCCAAATCTATTGTTATTATGCAAAATATCCAAATCTGATTTTCTTTTTTTCTTTCTCTTCTTCCTTCCTTCCTTCCTTCCTTCCTTCCTTCCTTCCTTCCTTCCTTCCTTCCTTCCTTCCTTCCTCCATTTATTTATTTATTTTTCCTTTTTAGTAATTGTTAATTTTATTAAAAGAAATAACACACTAAAGCAACAGGCAGCTAAGTACATAATAATGCTAAAACAGAGGTTCCACTTTTGATGACTTAATAAGGAATGTTCTACCAAGCAAGCAAAGTCATTTACTTTTATCTTATTGTGTACAAAGTTCAATCCCAAAACACTGTTACCTTAGAAACCAGTGCCTTAGTTAACAACAAAAAAAAAAGTGAACTTAGCAGCCTTGAAATTTTCAGATTTCTCTTGTTGTTGTATCACTGTCATATAGAATATCATAGTTAAAGATGGAATGAGGATACTGTTTGCAAGCATGCTTCATAATTAATGCATTTCTTGACATTTCAATGCATTTCAGAAAGCTCATCTAGGCCTGAATAAGAACATCAGTGGGTAGACTAGAATTAGTCAGTGTCCCAACATGGAGGGGGTGTACAGTGAAGAATACATACTCTTTCCAATTTATTCAGAATAATTCAGATGCAAGACCCCAAAGGATCCCCTTGATTCAGTGAGGTGCACAGCTGCACATCCAGACAGAGGGTTGAATGTGCAGCAGGTCTAGTGCTGGTCTTGAAATTCATTATGTGTCTTAACTGCTAGCATTGAACAGTAGTTCCAAGGCCCCAGGGACCTTCTGAACCTGTGAGGAATGAGCACATATAAAAACTATGAGCCTCTTGCTGGTCACTGTCTGGGTTTCTCCTCTGGGATCCCTAGCCACTACAATGATCAATGAACTTTGAGCAGTTGCTTTGGGAAGGTACTTGTTTTGTAAAGATATGGCTGTTTTTCTTTGAAGACTATTTTAGAAAGTTTACTATATTTTGAGGGTAAAAAAGGAAAAAAATATTCTTTTTGAATTTCTGCTTCTCTGTATACAGAAACATAACAAGTGAATGATGTGTACTGTTACATGTGGATATATGCATATTCACAAACAGAGAGAGAACTGTCAAACAATGTGCATATTAATTAACAAATTCTTATTGTCATTTCTTGTAGTTCCCATAAGTACTGAGCCTACAACTTGCCGGCATGAAAGTGGTAGGTTTTAGTATGTTTGCCTTTGTATCACATTACAGTACCTTTCCTTTTGTACACAACAATGTTTGAACTGCCTTGCATCAATTTAGAGATATCTAAATGTCTGGGCATTACAGAATAGACAGTAATATTTACAGCTAATGTGTCACTACACAGACATCACAGCAACAGGGTGAACTACTAACTCAAATACAAGTGTACTTTAATGAGGGGTACAGTGATGTACTCTAACCTATTTTAACAAAGGAATTTATTGACTCATATGTCTATTATTTTTAACCACTAAAGAAAGCATAATAAAAGTTAAGTGTAGGTTTTAAAAGTTATCCAGTTACTCACTATTACTGGCAATGATAGATTTAGACAAACTGACTTCCAAATTCAATTCCCCTCTTGGTGGTTCTTTTGGGAGTGGTGAGTGTTGTTTCAGGTTTGGGTGAGGAGAGCTGTTACTCGATGTAAGTCCTCAGAAAATGAATACCTATTACTCCCTCCTCAGTAACATGTGCTATGCTGTCAAAAGAGCCCGTGGAACTAATTAAAGAACTCTCTTAGGTGTGCCTGTGCTGCAGCTTCAGTTAACCAGCACCTCCGCCTACTACACCTACCTCCTCCTGCTCCTCAAGAGTGTGATCTACTTGGCCATGGTCAGCTTCTTTCTGTTTAGAAGAGCAGCCCTCTGTGGCAATAAGAAGAGGTCCTAAGGAAGTGAATGGCGGTCCAAGTCAGCTGCTTTTCATCCTTTGCTGTCAAAGGTGCCTTATGGGGGTCCAGCTGGATTTCCTTGCTAACTTTGACCTCTGTAAAGTCACATGTATATCATTCTGTCATTGCATGAAAGTTTTCAAACTTTTATAAGCAATTTGAGCAGCTTAACTCTAACTGCGCACACCTCCCTTCTGATTCCATCCTCTTCAACAGTCCCCTCCCCCAAGAGCCTGAAGCATCACAGCTCTAATACACATAGTTTGCAGCTTCTACCCATGGTCCTTGTCGCCTTTGAACCAGCTAACTTCTTGAAAGCCTCCACTCTAGACAACGGAAAAAGCCTTCTTTACTATTTGAATTCTTGTCTTGTATTTCATATTAGAGACAATAAATTTTTTTTAAAAAAAATCAGAAGTCTTTTTTTGTCAATCTTTACTTCCATTTAATAACCCTGAAAGATATGGTATGACAGCTGAGCCATGGCATCCAATGACAGTTGGTAACAAGAGTCCAAAATCATATTTCAAATCTTGGTCCAGAGTCTGTGGTTATGACATTTCTTGGGACAGTAGGTCTAAGAGGAACCACAGGCAATTGAAAAAAGTTGTGTTACTGCTCTTAAAGGCCATCAGATTTGGTGTCATTCGGTTTTAGGCTTTCTCCTGGCAGTGAGCAAATATCTAACATGACTCAAACTGTGTGTGTTCAGCTCTGTGCCTATGTTTCATGGCAGTATGTTTTCAGATCCTCAGACTGCCCCCTGAAAGCTACCAGAACTTCAGAGAGGAAGAGTGATGGAGGACAGTGACCTCAGTGAACTCCCAGTACCACAGCTTCCCTCCGTGACATGAAGTTAGAATAGTCTGTCCCCTAGGGCTTTGTATGTTGAGGAAATTATTAACAGGAAGTACAAGCAAGTCCTCGAGGGCCCTGGCATAGGCCCTTGACCCTGCCTTAGAGATAGTAGATAGCACACTCTCACACAAAGGCACCAACAGTGATTTCTATTCTCCACGGGAAGAGTGGCAGGGTGCAATGGGATCATGCCTTATACTATACACCAAGCAACCCCTGATCTTCTAACAGCCCTTTGAAATAGATACAATTATGGGCCACAGTTTAAAGATTGGAGAGTTAATCTCACTACTAAAGGTCGCTGTTTTGGAGCAGTACTAGTAATTTAAAGCCAGATTTCTCTGATCTCCCGTGCGTGTGAGAGAGAGGGGGGCAGAATAGAGAGAGAACATCCATGTTCTACATATCCTATATCTTTCAGTAATGTTAAATCAAAACAACCACAAAATATAAAAACAACCATTGCTTCCTTAATACAGTTAGTGATAATTTCCTTAAGAACTTATAGGTTCATCGCTTTATTCCTCGTGATTTCTCCAAGCCACTGGCTTTCTCACTCATCCTTCCTCTCACTAGAAGTGTGATCTCCTCTAGAAGAGTAATAATTGTGCCACTTGCTGTAAGTTAGAACAGTGATTCCGCTCTCCATTGAGCATTTGTCTTTGGTTTGAAACTGCTCTTCTAGGGAGAGCACTAATACAGTGGGATGTGAGTTTCAGGCATGGTAGATCCCTTAATGGCGCTGTGTGGACGTGAGTAGCATCCTGAGACTCAAGTTCATGCATAGACTGAATCACTTGTAGAAGATTCTTGGAATCTAGGTAATTTTTGATGCAGGAATGGGGTTATGCAGCTTCCTTGGTCCATGACTTTTATTACAACACAAAGCCTCAAGCAGGTAACTACCTGATTTTGTGGGAGAATCCTGAACCAGGAGCCACATTTCACAGATAGAATACTGGCTACATTGTCTAGGGTTTTTTTTTTCCCTTTTGAATGACAAAACTTTTACATATTTATGGAATCTTATGTAATGTTTGAGTCCATACACATATTGAGTATTCTTTAAATCAGGGCAAACATAGCTTTTTCCTAAAATATTCATTCATTATTTCTATGGCATGAGAATATTCAAAAACCTTTTCCATTGCCTTTTGAGATACAGATCATATTATTATTTTCTAATTTTTTAGTTCTACACTAAAATTTATGCATCCTTAGAAAAATGCATAAAGTTAAGTAACTTAGGGTTTGCATGCAAAGTTACAAACCAAGTAGTTGACATCTGAGTGAATTAATGGTGGAAATCAGGGATGTCATGGTATTTTCCAGGTAGTGGATTAAATATGTGCCACCTCAAGTAAGCATCACAAATACAGAGTAAGATAGACAGAACATCTCTGTTCTGTACAAGGGGAAGCTGTGCCAGGGAGAACTGTGGGGTCTCCTAAAATGTCACAGAGAATGGCAGAACTTGGATCTCAGCTGGTTGATGTGAGCAGTTCTGCTCTTTCCTAGTATAGCACTTGTTTGTAGGATGGAAATAGGCTATTCTTCGAGAAAACCTTCTTTCGCTATTAGGCTCAGAGTGGATGAAGGGAATAATCTCTTTACCCACCCCCTTTACCCATCCCCATGTCCTCAAGTTAGAGCTCGTAGTTTTAACTTAAAATGAAAAGGTTTCAGGTTTGTACAGTCAACTTCATTTTCTGTGAAACCAAGCAGAAGTTCCCACGGGGAAAAAACAAACAAGAATAGCCAGGCTTAAGAAGATGAAATTTAGCCGGGCGTTGGTGGCGCACGCCTTTAATCTCAGCACTCGGGAGGCAGAGCCAGGCGGATCTCTGTGAGTTCGAGGCCAGCCTGGGCTACCAAGTGAGCTCCAGGAAAGGCGCAAAGCTACACAGAGAAACCCTGTCTCGAAAAAACAAAAAACAAAACAAAAAAAAAAGAAGATGAAATTTAATTTATATCTCCTCCCTGATGCTCCTGAGCTAACTGGACTCTTCAGACGCAGTTCCTGGCAGCTAAACAGAGACATGGCTATGTCTGCACAAGGAAACAGTTGCCGTGGCTGGAAACTGACATCAGCCAGAGCATTGTGGCGCTGTTACCACTGGCCAATAGCACCAGGCAGTGTCTCATGTGGTGTCAAACCTCTTAGCACCCTCCAGCTGTTGTCCACCTGGGCAGCCTGCAGCCCCAGCACTGTGCAGAGAGTGCTAGGGGTAGGGAGATGGAGAGACAATATCCTGTGTCTAATAGCAGTTTTTACTTTCTCAAGCTTCTTTTGTTTACCTGCTCTGTCAATGTGGTTGCTTCCTGGAAAATGGTTAAACTCAAACCACCACTGTTTGGGGCAGCACACGATGAGGCTAAGGTGTTAGAAGACAAAATAGGAACAGTTAAACCACAGCCAGATCTGCTTGCTTTCAAAAGACCACAGCTACTGGAGAGAAAACCTCCAACTCCACATACTGGAAGAGGCCCTGAAACTCGGTCTCTGTGCTGATGGAGGCTGAGCTTGTTGCGATTGGTGCTCACAGAGCTCAGGTGCTGTGGGGATTGGAATCTGGTTCCCAGAACTGTGTAGACATTCTACCCAAGGAAGAAACAGAGAAGGAGAGTTTACAAGTAGTTTTTTGCTTCACGTTCTTAGTGGAAAACAAAAAGGAATAAGGCTGTGTCTTGAGCAAAGTAGCAGAGGAAAATGAAGATGTGGACAAGAACAATGTCCCAGAGGAAGTCACAGAATGCTTTGAGTTCAGCTGTGTTAAAGCCATCCACTAAATAGTAGCTCCACCTCAGGAGGAAAATGTTATCAGAGTCGCCTGAGGAAGGCTCAGTTGAAGATACTGACATACATATCAAGTAAATGAGAGAGTAGACTCAGAAAAGAAATGTTCAGAAATATGAACACAGAAAGAAAATATCTCCAACCTTTGTTGCACAGGCTGGGCACAGAGTGGGCAGCAGGTACTTAGCCTCATTTTTCCAGGCCCAGGTAAAGCATATGTACAGATGGAACATTTGAGTCTAGCTTTCACAGCCTGCTGTCATGGAACATTTGAATCAGATACTGTGATAACCTTGTGTATTCAGAGCCAACTTCTACACAAGGCTGGATGCCTCCTAAGAGGATTAGCTTCATCTATTGTCTCTGCACAGCAGTCTAGGGAGCAAGCACTCATCTCAGCTTAAGTTGATAAGATGATGTCTTGCTTAACCATAGCTGTGGGCTTGGAGTGCATGCAGCTCTATTATTACTGAGACAGGAAATTGTCACAGAGTTAGCCCCACCTAGTTTCTGAGGTCCTGTCCCAAGACAAACACTGGAGAGTTTCCTCCACTCTTTTTACCATGAGTAGCCCTTGGCTGCACCCCAGCCTCCCTGCCAGCCTCCCTGTGGCACTGCTGCTGTGGGCATACACTCAGAACAGCACGGATGCAGGACTGGATCTGCATAGAAACTGTTTACACCCGAACCTGCAGCATCATTTCTGTGTCCAATTAACCTTTCTAGAAAGACAAGCCAATGGTGGAAACTCACAGTGTGCTTCTCTGGGAAGCAAAAGATGAATTTCACATCTGGAAAAATAGTTCATGATGTAAATTAGTTCCTTTTCATCCAAACTAGTTAAATATGCAGGAAATTGATAGCAATGCTTTCCTGGGACTCTTGTTTTCCAAATAACAGAACTTAGAAAACTGCAGGACACATCACAGAAAGACATGGTTTTATGTTTAAAACAATATAAAGTGGCAACATTTTACATTATTATCAATCTTTCTTCATCCCCATTTCATATTTCTAATACTTTGTCCCAAATAAATTATACCAAGATAAATATATCTAATCATTTGATATGTTGAATTTATTGCATTATAAAATTATATAAAGTGCATGGCATGAGTTTAAAATAATAAGGGTTATAGAATGTTTTAAAAGAAATACTAGAGGAATTTGAAGTTCAAAACCGAATCTTTGATTCTTTAAAAGGGCATTTCACTTACCATGAAAGTATTATTTCAATACATTAGGAAATCTTCCAAGTCCAGGGAAATACATGATTATCAGTTACTCATTATCAGGTCAGACTGAGTTTCACCCAACAGACAAAGAACGATGGCATGACCTGAAGACCACAGTTAGTAACTGTGAGTGGAAGTGAGGTAAATGTCCATGAGGTATCACCAAAAAGAAATTCATTAGCTCACCAACAAAGCCATCCATGAACAGACATCACCATTTTCCTGTCTCTGAGAGGCCCCATTCCTATCTGCAGTCTTGTTTCTTTTATCTATCTTAACCTATAAAAGTTATAAAGTACCAAAAAAATATATTATATAACCATATTTAGACACTGACAGAATCAAAACACACATTTCAGGGGACAACCGATTTCTCTGACTCAGCACATTTCCTGTTCTCAACTAAACAAATAAAAGCATCAAAATCTTAAGTTCTGTGTATAATCATATTCTGTCAAGGAGTATTCTGTC